CATTCCCTGGTTAAAGAACCACTGTTGCTGGTTTTACTACGTGATAGACGACCATTTCGACCTCTGACTCGCAACTCGAAAAGCCCCACTCGGTTGTTCGCCTTCTAGCGGCTGTTCCCTTTTGGTTTCGCTGTCGATAGACCTTCGATTGTACTGTGGCCTGAGGCAGATATTACCTATCAGGGACCCGAATGACCAGTGGTGCTCGAACTCATGGACACGGTGCAGTCAGTTTTGGGTTGTAACTCATATAAACCTCCACTGACTAAGTCGACAAATTTGAGCGAAAAAGTCAGCAGCAATCCGTCTGTTTGCTATAACTTGGCCAAAAATGGTTCAAATGACTAGAATATAACGACCACTGGATAGCGCTAGTTAAGACGAACTCAACGATATAGCGAACTTTTGAGTTTCTTCAAATCTTTGGCATTATTTCTGGCTATGTGGCTGGCAACTTTAGCGACAGTTTTGGCCTTTGTTTTCTGGGGCTCAGGATCGTTTGAGTTGCCAGAAAATGTTCCTCTCTGACTGTCTTACCACAGTTTTCACCGGAATCTCCTATTACCCCAACCTTGGCTACAGATCCTGCGCAGGTTCGCGATAGCCTGGATGTACTTCCTCATCACAGATTGTAAAAATGTAGACTGTTCAGTGTCATCGTACGTTTTTGAGGCATTTACACCATTCCCATCCTAGCGTTCATCAGCGGAATACAATACCGTGGCTCTTTGAGGAACCTTGTTCATCTACCCCACACCTTATTACCTACAGCTCTCAGTTCTCCTGGCACCTGTAGCAACCTTACCAGCCAGCTGGTCAGTTGATGATGATGATCCTTGGGGATTGGCTGGTTGCAGTGCAGGTGTTATTGGTGAACGGGACCACTGAAGGGGGTCGGACGGGGGTCGCCGTCCCCGTTCGTGTGGTGTTGTGTTGTTGCGTTCGCCGTGCCACCCGCAAAACATTCATTTGCATATAGGCGTTGGCGCGGCTGGCGCGTTCATTAGGGCGCGCGCACCCACCCTCACCCTCAGAAACTCTGCTCGCACTTTGTCATCGAAAGGCGTTCCTTTTTCCTCGTTCGACCCGATCACATGTGAATTCACTCCTCTCTAGTTCTTTTCTTCGATTTCCTTCTTTCATTCACTCGGCGGCATACTCTATCATTCCCGCCTTCATGTCAGGCATTCTCAAAGACTTGGCTGGGAACATGTTACATATGTTCTTCAGCTTGTTCCTCTCCACTGCAGGGCATTAATAAACAGAAAAGAAACTTTTACCTACGAGAAAAGATTTTTTTGTTTCCAAATGAATTAACATCTGAACTGGTGAGGTTGCGAGTAGGTCTGGTTCTCAGTTAAGAGATTGGTTCACTGTTGATATTGAATCTTTCTTTAGAACAATTTCCATTTGCTGCGAGTTTAGCAGGATCATCTTTTATTTCCATCCAACTGAATGACTAAAGAGCAATATCTCTGAAGCGTTTTTGCTTTCTCCAGCTCATAACGGAGTATAGTGGAGTTTGTTGAGCTTAGCAGTACGGTCTTATCCCCGATTATCGTATCCGCCCTCCTTCACGAGTTGTTATCTATATGGATATATCCACACGATCTTTGGTTCTCTCATATGACTTTCGTCGTTTATCATAGATACTAGCCTGAGTCACTCCAGAGACACCCACTCCATGAGCTGGTTTCCATGCAGTTTTCCTTTTGCACCGACATTACGCCTAAACTCCTAATCAGATGCACTAGCACAAAAACTCCCGAGGTCACTCGTCATGCAGCCTTATCTATTCACAAAAAAATGATATCAGTGTCTATCAATGTAATTCGCCGATCTTTCGCCTAAAAAAGGGCTACACTCAACCTGCTCTACAAAACTGTGTTCGGATCGCTGATCGGCATTCTGGTGACCGATCATGTCCCCATTTTCTCTGGACGTACATCGTCTATTCTCCCCTCACATGCCATAAACCTTTATTCTCATAATTTTATCTGCGTTTTCTGTTTGCTGACCTTAAGTGACCACCCTGGACATGGAACAGATATCAGGCTGACCAATGGTGAGAGCGTGGCGGCGATGGAGCGCGCCGGACGGCGTACGCATTGGTCACACGTGAAAAACAATCTTCGGCCGCTGAGCGCTGTCTCGTCCAGCTCGCCGCTGGTCTGCGCCTCCTGTTCCCCGCTATCGCGCTCACTCCATACGCTAAGCGCAGTGATGTCTGCGTCGCGTGAGATGTTCGGTTTCCTGTCGATTGTTTACTGGTTGCACTATGTTTCAATCAACAAAGGGGGATTTTTAGCGCGCGCGCGTCCTGCGTTGACCTTTCGGGGCACCGTGTTATCCACCGGCCTTCAAGCCAGCCGTATACGCACCACACGGCTTTGATTTTCGAGGCGATAGAATGGGAAGGGGAATTGTTCTGACGTGACCGGAATAACAGTAGGATGAACTAGCCGACAATTGAACTACGAGCCGTTCCTTCACAGCCGTGTTTCCGAGTCAAGGGATCTACGATGCTGACCCGCAGACGGGGATTCGCTTTACTGCCGCATTCAAATGGCAACACATTCGCATCGTCCGTCGCACACAAAGAGACATTTTTATCGAGGCACTCGGAGAAAACCGACACGGAAAACCAGCTACGCTGAAAGTGAGGAGTGAGGGTCGGATGGCTCGCAGCAGCTAGAGGTAACGAACGGGGTGACGAACCACGCACCAAAGGTTTTCTTCGGCTTTCCTACTTTCTGTGCTCCAGCGCACCTACGTATTTCTTCTCTTCGAGGATTTTTAATGACAAGAAAAAAGAGCTGCTCCTCTCGTTCCTGTTGCTGTTCTCTTTTGCTAGTGGTCTTGTTGTTTGAACTATACTCGGTTTTTCTTCAAAAATTGTGAGGTTCACGTTGTCAAACGCTATTATTGTTCAGTTGTCAGACCAAAACTGTAGATCAAATTCTTGGAACGACTAAAGCCTTTCTCGATCTCGATATGCGCCGTTATGCTCAACAGTCACTGTCCCAAAAGTTAACCAGTCAGTACTGATTAGTGCCTGCTACTAGACTAAGTACACTCTACGGTGGTTCCTGTGAGCTTGACGTAGAAACGACTCTGTTGTTATTTTTTTCGAGGGACCAATTGATTGTTTCCAAAAATGATGTAATAACAGGCAATAGGCTCCCAAATACTACCGCCAATGCGAAAAAAGCATGCAACACGATAAAATGTCTACCCTTATGCCTTCCGCACTCAAAAAGGTTCTCATTAACTGTTTTCCTCTGTTTTCTGAAAAACTTGCTCGGAAGATCGAATGGAAACGACGTCTGCACATGTATCGTATAGTGCCTCCTTAAATTTCTAATTCTCTTCACTATTTCGTTTTTGAAGCATCACATCGACACATCGAAGGAGCCCCAGTATGTCATATCCGGTGTAGAACGTGTCGTGACCATTCTTCGCTGAGGTTACTGGTAATCGTGGCCTTTGCCCATTGTGTCGGATAAGTCGTAAAAAATTTGGCGACCCGGTGCAGCTGATTTATGCATGTCGCGACCGTGTTCTGGTTTGTCGTCAAGCGTTTTTTCGTCCTGTTCTTTCTCTCTGTGAGCACCGCTTTTGAAATCGTAAATGCACAGTTGAAATGGGGGAATACTATGTTCGGAGCGGAGACTTCTTCACTAATTTTTCAATACCTTGTGGCCCTTTCCATATTTCTTAGGGGACCCCGAATTTGTTTAATTTAAGCGTGCAGCCTGCAGAGATTCCTCACCCGTGGCTGTTTTGACCGGGTTATCCGAAAGATCCATTCGTCTGCCGGCAGGCCGCGCAACCGAACGAGCCCGAGCGATTCTTAATGCCTCTGTTCGCGGCCGTCCGTTCCGCAGCTGGAAGTGTCGATTCGAGAGAGTAGAGGAAAAGGCGAATCGGCAGCTCAAATTTGCATACGCGGTCGAAAAAAGCCCCGCTTAGTCATGCATCGCTCTTGTTGTTGCGTCCGTCTGTGGTCATCACACAGCAATCGCATGCGTCCGGCGCGCAATGCAACCCACCAGGAAACATCTGGTTAGTGGTCGGTCGGGGGGCGATTTTTCAAAACCCCGCTGACCGTTTCGCTTTCTTCCCCTTGCCGCATCTATCCCATCTATGGCGTCTATCGATTTGCATATCTTCGTAATCGTAGTTTTCTATTGGGATCGTCTTGTTCCGACGCCAATAACTCGCGCGAGCACTTTTCGGTAGTACACGTGCTCGAGTGCGAACGAGTACTGCGCGAAAACACGAGATGAGATGTGGTTTGGGGAAAGCAGGGAGGGAGGGAGCGAGCAGAAAAAAACACGCCTCAATTCCGAAAACACAACGTGATGTCGCCCTACTGATGCACTATCGACAAACGACAAGAGGTGTCGAGTTAAATGAGGAACGGATTCAGCCATCCGTTTAACAATGGCTTCTTCACTTCTCAGTGCGTCATCGGGAACTTCCTGCTCACATTCTCTAACCTCTCTGACGTATTCCATCGTGAATGAATGTGTCGAAATCTGCTACGAAGCCCCTCGCGTCCTTCACATCAGCTGACAGCCGATGAACTCTGGCCATTTTCATGGAATTTTTTACTCGCGTTTTTTTACGTTTCATGCAGCTACTCCGACAATGGTTACAGTTTTTGTGACGCTTCCACTTTTGTTACATATACATGCGGAAGCCAGGACCAACCCCGCTGTCATTTATGGTGCATTTTGCTCATTTTTGCGGCCGAAAATATTTTTCCATTTGGTGCCGGTGCTGTCTCCCACCTCCTACAACTGACATCATCTGAAATTTCAAGACCTCGTCCCCATCAGCTTTACACCTACGAAGCACCTATTCCAGTGCTATTTTTTATCGTGATAATCTTCTGGTACTGTTCGCTTTTTTTTCTAGTTCGTGTATGTGTATTTCTATAATTAACTGACTATTCCCTGATTCAGGTGAGGTATATGCGGTAAGGAGCGAGTGGAATGGCACAGTGTGATGACTCGACGCAACCTCCGTCAAGTTGGAATCGGGACCCTATAAGGGAGCAGCTAGCCCACCTCGCCACTCACACACCTATTCAGGTTTGAGAACCCTTTTCCCTTTTACGGACCTTCAAATAGATTATGAAGTGATAATATTTAGTCTCTCTTTCGCTCCCCGGAAGTTCTTCTTCTTTCTTAAGTGCTCGTTAGTCATGTGAACTTCAAATAACATCCCGGATAGTGTGCATACTGCTTTTGGACTTCTGCCATCTCGACCTCTGCGGGATGCCCTTTTTTCTCTGCGAATGTTAACATGTCTACATGAATTTACAAACAAATGTTAAACCCAAAGCGGAAATATGTTTAAATTGGTTGGGATGGGTAGGACATTATCCGTTTTGGAGTATTCGCTATTTGATAAAAAATGCTCCAATATATAAAAACATCCGTCGGTCCGGTGTCTTCCAACTAAGTCAAGCTGTTCTCTTGGTAAGTCATCAATCTAACTCAATCAGTTTGAGGCGAATTTGGTAGAGTGGCTACCGGCGCGGCATTGGACGCGCATGCTTCGATCGTCTCCGGATCATATTCCACTCAGGCAACCACGCCTCCCCGTCCTTATGGGTTCGGGTAATTGCATGAATTAGATATATGACTTAGATTTACCTCGCCTCTAATAAGGTTTCTTTCTCAGCTAAAAACTGGATTCTGATGGACCCCTAAGAGAGGTACGGATGGTTTAGTTTGAGGTGACGCTGTGAACGCCGGTCTGGGGAACGACCCTGGTCAATTCCTGCCGACGAATTAAGCCTTCTTCCCTCCGAGCTCGGTTACCGGATGGGTTTAGGTGGGGGCAAGTGATTAAATGACCCTAATCGCCTTTCAAAGTTTTGAATGGGAACTGACCGTTTTGTTATGCTATGTTGTTTTTGCGCTCGCGCGAGCTGCGTTCGTGTTTCCATATAAGTAAATAAATAAACGAAGACGAGTGGCGTGCCCTAAAAAAATGACTGGCCGATGTCCAATGCCTTACGCTTTTGACAGTGCCTGCGAGCAACCCCTTATCACATGTATTCACGCGGCTTGTCCTGAGTTTATACAAGCCCTGAACCATCCGGTCATACCTCAGACACGCGTGCGTACACACATGCGTACGTTCAAACACACGCACATACATACATACATACATTTCCGTTCTATTGCTGTACTCTTAGTGCATTTTTTTGGGGGAGGACTTTACGATGAAAACAGGCCGTGTGTGTATGCCTTCAGTTTTTATCACGGATTGCACTTTTTTGCCGGCTGAATAGCATAAAACAGAGGGTGTACTTTTGGTTATTGCGTTCCGCGAACGGGCGCAAACGCTCGACACACATTTTTTGCCAACCACCACCAGCCATCCTTCTATCCTTCTCATGAAAAAGGCATCATCACATCGTGGCTGGCGAAGGGTTAAGCAATGAACGGTGTTTTCGGTGTTTATGTGTCTATGTGTGTCTGTGTGTATGTGTGGATTTGTGAGTCATCCAGTATTTTTCATGCTAACTTCCTTTTTTTGTCCTCTACTTCACACTATTCTCCCACATTTGGCGCGACACCACAGCGCCAAATGCGTCGCCGTTCGTCGCTGCAGTCGCAGGACGCACACGTGCGCACAGTGACGTCTGCCCAGCGGCCACCTAAGGTAGACACTTGCAGGTTCCTCGACCGCAAGAAGGCGTGCCGGCCGCGTTTCACGCCATGCAACAAGGTGCCTGGCGGATACCGTTCGCCGGTTTCACACCAGCTCAACCTCAACCTCTATTTCGGTGGGTCATTCCGTTCCTCAAATCTGGCTGTCCAGTTCGTCATGTGATGTTTGTTCAACTAACCGGTTGAGTTTTTTGCCTTCAGATCCACCTGGCAACAACCATCTTCCGGAGAGTGGACAGCGAACAATAATAAAATCAATGAGTGGAAAAAATGGAACTCATTAGAGACACCGTCGACAGAGTTGGCAAGACCACGACCGCAGCTACTATCGCCCCACTTTGGCTCACCTGTATTGCCAACGGGTGGGCAGGCAACTCTGCCGGCTGTGGGCCCCATCACCGAAGTAACAGCAGACAAACAGCCATGTGAACCAATGGATCAGCACGACATTCACATCCTCAAAGAGGTATAGTTACAAGCTGTTTAATGAAATGACTTGCCAAATTACTTTTGCTAGTTGAAGGAAGAGCGAAAATCTGCTGAGCATCATTCCGCTTCGTACGATGCGTCGGCTTCGCCATCGTTGAGCGGTGACGAGGACGAACGGCGTCTTGACGTCGAAGGTAGTAGCGAGCCTCATGCAGAGGATGTAGAAGTCGACGTCGCTAAGACGTCATCGGAGCATCGCATGCAGTGCAGTGTTGATTACGGTAATATCTTATTCTGCAAACAAAGAGGGCATTCCGCTTCATAAGAGTTCCTTCGCCCTCCTCGAGGTTCCGTGTTTCGTAAAAATAGCCAGCAAAACTTACTTAACTGCTCCTTGGGAGCTATCATTTGGTTAAGCCACGCGCATGTGCCACTGGAAGTGCACTCCGATTTTTTCGTTGTGCCCGTAGAGTTGTCTGACCAGTTGATGGACATCCTCGGTTGAGATTCTGCAAAATGTTCCGATTTTAGATTTGTTGCGCTTATGCTCTCGCGCAGCAAATCGGAAATCGGAACATTTTGCAGTAAGCGCTCAGTCATTTTATGCAAGCGAGACTTTGGTCGCTCAGATTTTCCAAGATCTCTAGGAATTCCTCCCTTTGAGCCATTCAAAAGTCAATAATGGTCAATTCGGTGATATATATGTACGAGGAGTTATAAGGCTATGCAAAACCTCTAGCTTCTTCACATCTAGCTCTTGCATACTATAGGCAAGCACTTCCTTGTTGCTTACTCTCCTCATGGCACGTGCTTATCTCTGAAGTTGCCTACTCATTTTCACTTTCTGAGGAGGCGGGGGCGGTCGAAAAGGTATTCAAAAGTGCAAGTAGAACAAAAAAGATATCTATTATATTCATCAAAAAATACCACCCACTTTAGGTCAGTTGTCGATTTCCGATTTTTTTTAGAATTTCCTTCCTTTGTTGTCCTTAGCAAATCGCTCTTTTTCAATTTCGCTGCGTTCTTATTTCTAAGAGGGGTCGTTCGCTGAAGTTTCCTGGAAAGATGGATCGATCACGCCATTGATGTCGAGAATCTTGAAAAACACTTTTGTTTTTGGTATTCAGAGACGGACGAAGGGCATCCTTACGACAATGATGACAATCACGTTAGCACAACGACATCGCACAAGGAAGATGAAGCCTCGTGAGTGCAACTGTACTTTGATACCTTCACTCTCTCTAATGCATTCACTATAAGAGGATAACTTCCTTGATGAAAAGGGATGGTCAGCGAGAATATCAACGACATTCTTTGCCACAGCTCAATCACAAATATCCGTTTCTAGTGAGATAAAGGGGCCTTACAATTCTTCTTGTTAGGCTTTATTTCGTATCCAAGCTTTCCTTTCTCACACCTAAATCAAAAATTTGCGAGTTCCCCATCCTTTCATGCGTATGTTCGAGCAAGTGCAATTCGATGAAGACTTCGTAAGGACCAGCCACTCTCTTCCAGAGGAAGGACGATGGAGCCTTGTTTGGCCGAGTATCTTCACTCATTTCGTATGACATTGCTATGAAGTTGTGCATGACCAAATACCATGACTTCGTAAGTGCCACCGTCCGAAAAGAGCGAGAGAGTCGCAGATCGTTGGATCTTTCTCTGAAAATCCCTGACCGATGGGATGGTCTTTGAATGAGGCCACACAGATGTGATTCCACTATTTCGTTCTTATATGCGCATGAAAAGTGCATTCCACCATCGTACGTACTGCTTGAAATATAAGTGCTGTTGATTCTGAATTCTGGTTCGTAAATCTTTTGTTCTGTGGTGGGGCAATGACTCATAGGTGAAAACAACGGCGCGACCAGACAAGGGTTTGCTGAGTGAAGCCTAGCAAACTATTTCTTACCCTCCGTCCGTCTGTTGCCTAGTCATGTCATTCCAGTTGATCTGCTGAATTGAAGAGGGCCGCTTCAATCTCTTCGGGATATTTGAGGGAGAGATGCTTGAATTGGAAAGTAGAGGGGATGAAGAGAAGGGAAGCCGCAAATCAATAGGAATATCGGTCGAAGTGATACCGTAACATGACAATGTTGAGCTGCTTCTTTACAGACACCTCCTGCTCAACTTCTCGCAGCAGTCGTTCGCCTCCTCTAGCGACCAGTCACGAATTCAGTGTCTGCCTTCACCAACGGAAAGTGGAAAAGTTAGCGATCCGAACGTGCCCACTACGACCACATCAAATTCGACTACACCAGTAATTATCAGCAGCGCATTCTCATCTACGGATTCCGCAGTGTCTACATCAGAAAGCAATTGTGAGTTGCATGAATCTGCGGTTTTCACAGATCTTCTATTTCTAGCATTTTTCAGCGTCCTTCTGCCGTCCTCCTGGCTTAGGCCCCGCAGCGTTCTGCACACCAACGACAGGCCAAAACGCCGCTCTAGTTTGTCCTATTTGTGGATTTTCATGTAACTCCAAGTTCCACTACAACAGCCACATGAACACTCACGGCGACCACCAGTGTAGTATGTGCGATTATACGAGCCGCACTGAAGGAAGGTGTGTGAATTTCATGCGGTTTCTACCTGATTTCAGCGCTTTTTCGCTTCATTGTAGGACGATCAATTCAACATTTTTTGCAGACTAAAAAAGCATATGCGTGAAGTCACACACGGTCGAAGAGCAGCTGGCTGTTGGACTAGAGATCAAACCACCGACACCAGCTCCGGCTTCCAGTACGACGACGTCGACGGTGACCACTACATCGCAGTGTTCCGCACTGGCTGATATAGCGAATCTTTCGACTACTATGGCGTCGCTCGTCGACGTTGCGAATATGGCAGCAGCAGCTGTTGCTGGTAAACAGGAGGTACGTGTGGGTGGCTGCATCCTGAGAGCTGAACTGTGCTCTTACAGTGTATAGTTGCTCCTTTCCAGCAGACATCGAGCTCTCTGGCTTCGGCACTATCTATGGACAACCTGGTGAGCACGAGCGGCTTTCTGAGCACAATCGCCTCAACCGGTTTACCTTCGGCTTTGGATCAGATTCGGGCTTTTGCCGAGAATTCTTCCTTACTACCGGATTCTGGCGCCACGCTCGCGAACGCGTTCGGTGCGATGTCGCAGGAGGTCGTAGATGGATTCGAGAAGTCGTCAGAGAAGGTCTTTTCGTACTCTTTGCGGCTCTCATCGCATTTTTAACAACGTTCCCATTTTCAGTACAATAACGCGGAACCACGACGAAACAGTAATGGGAAGATGAAGCAGTATAAATGTAAACAGTGTCCCCATATTTCGTTTTCCAAGGACGATCAATGGGCTCACGCTCGTACTCATATACCAGTTGACAAACAAATGAACTGTCCTACATGCAACTTCGTTACTGAGTATAAACATCACCTGGTTGGTTAACCCTTCTAACTTACATCTATGAATATTGAGATTTGAAATCTCGATTTTTTTCAAAAATACCTATTTTTGAATACTGTCAAAACCGTGTTCATAATACGGAAAACATTCTCATTTCGCTCTCCCCCCTGGGAATCTGCTTTCAAACTTTTAAAAGAAAAGCTGATTTGGCTAGGACATGGGGACAGCGACATGGGTCGCCGCGCGCGCTGGCATGATGACTCATCTTCACTGTGGCATTAGCTAATAAGTCGCGGGCTGTGACTCTACATATTTGTTACACCTATCTTGCCACGAACCACATCCAGGATGTTTCGGTTTTGCGAAATATGGAATGCAGAAAGTAATTACTGTTACAGGTAGCGGTGAGGTGAAGCACATCCGAATGAAAGCGCGGTTTCCACTTTCCAAAAACTTGCAGCCCTGAGTCGTTCGGGGGGCTCTGGAGATGATAAAGTTTATAAACTCAAAAACCCGGTTTTCACAAGCAGCACTTTCGCTTTCACACCTTGGCATACGAGTCTCGCTAATGCATTTATCTTTTATTATTGCTACGATTATCTTGGCTTTTTTTGCCGTTTCATGAAAGAACGCGAAACCAAGTGATATTTTAATTGTTTCTGCGTAGGTACGCAGACACGGTGAGATAGCAGGCGCTTTGCCAAAGGTGAAGGATAGTGGAAGGGTTTCACTTCAATTTACTCGCCACGCACACGGTACATCCCAATGTGCGCGGCGTCGCGTGGTGACTTCTTCCTCGGTACTCATACGTGTATGCGCATTACTTGACTAATATAGTGCTACAAATGAGGAATTGAGGCGTAATTCTATAGGTTTGGAGTGTTTGCGCCGCCTCACTTCTATGAAACGTTCCAAGAAAAACATTATAGAGAAACAAGGAAGTAGACGGTGTTCTCCTTTGATGCTTGCTTTCCAGGAATATCACATTCGAAATCACATCGGAAGTAAGCCATTTCAATGCAAAAAGTGCAGTTACACATGCGTGAATAAATCGATGCTGAACTCCCATATGAAAAGCCATACGAATGTGTACCAGTTCCGATGTATGGACTGTACCTATGCGACGAAGTACTGTCATAGCTTGAAGGTACACAATGAGATCCCTCATTCTTAATGCATTTTTGCTGAGTATGTTCACTGATACATTTATTATTCAGCTGCATCTGAAGAAATACGATCATCGTCGTGTACCAGACGGCATGGAAATGGGTGACACATCACCAACACAGGTAAAACCCGAATGCCCTTCCACCGTATTCGAACTTTGGTATGAAGTTGGACGCACCATCACCGACTTCAACTCTTGCGCAAACTCTTGGGCTCTCTCCGATTGTTACCAGCCAGAGTTTGAACTATGCCAGTCAGATGTTGCTTAGACAGCACCAGGTACACAGTTGCTATCTGTCGACCTGCTATCGTTGAATACTGAGAAATCATTTATCAGATGGAACAGATGAGCTCGTTGATCAACAGCATGCCGACGTTACCTCAGCCACTGACCTGCGCAGTGTGCGACTTCCAGACCAACTCACAGGAAGAGCTGATGCGACACAATGTCAACCACTTCCTGAATCAGTCAAATCAAAGTCCGATTGTCAGCTTGTATCAGTCGTTACCTCAGGTAAGACTTATACTAGTAGTGCTCATGTGCGGTGGAGAGCGCGTTCAGTGCACTTGTGTGCCCTACGGACGAGCGCTGATTTGCTTTTTTTCAGGTGAACTCGTTCATTCCAAAGCTCGAGGCAATCGCAGACAAACCTGTATGCGTTGACACCCAAGAAGAGCGCGACAGTGGACACGTCGGTGACGATGAGATGGAAGGCAGCACTGGTAGCACGAGCAGTCCTCATTGCAGTTCGAAAGGTAAGCACATATCGCTATTTCAGTCCGAATATTTGATAGTCATTCAGCATATGCAGGATCCGGCGACGAGGTCGAGCAACCAGGCAGAAAAATCAAAGCGTTCAAGCTGGAGCAAATAAGTCAACGTCTTCAAGGGAAGAGTCCCAATGGTAGCGAAGACAGCGATGAGAAGGAAGCAGCGAAGGTTTGTTGCAGGCTTTCAAGAAGCGATGGGTTTTTGAAAGAGAATTGGGATTCAATCTCCCCAAGAATGACAGTAGAAGCACCCTCATGCTTACAGTGTTTTTCAGTGGGTTGTTGAATGAAATACTCGTTTAGCAGCATGTCAAGGAGGAAATGTCGCCTGTTTCGGAATCACCAACACCGATCGCCATGTCCAGCAGCGTGGTGAGGTCGGTTGGGCAGCCGGCATTCCAGCCATTTTCCTCCGAGAACAATCTGAACATCTTCCAACGAGCGTACCTGGCTCAGCTGAACGCGCTCAATTTGAGACGAGAAGAAGCCTCGTGGCGATTCCAGTGTCACCACTGCCGTATGGCTTTTCAGGTTCGTTATTTCTGGGCTTGTGTAGAGGAAATACTCAATCTTCCACCAAATTGAGCCTTTTTCAGGATCAAGCTCTTTATCACATTCATATGGGCTATCATGGCTATGAGCACGTGTTCAAATGTAACCGGTGTGGACATATCGCGCCGGATTCGTTGAACTTCAATTTGCATTTGCTGCAAGCATCACACGAGTAGAGAGGAGAAGAGAAAAGCGACATCACGTCTTGGGGACGTGGTCGTGCTCGTCAGTCTGACCTCATCTTACACAGAGATCATCACACGCATTGTGGGGCGCCACACAAATCACGCGGTTCTTGCTCCGTCATGCTGGTTCACTTTATTTAGCGAAATGGGGCCTTCACGACCCATTCGTTGTTCATTCCTCGTCACTCGCTAGTAATAAGTGTTTTCTCGTTCTCGACTGAGCCGCATCGGTTCATCCTTGTACATATTATGTCTCACAATTTTTAATCGATTCATTAATTCACCTACCACATTCGTGAGTTGTTGTAGTGTCCCCCCTTCCCTCCCCTTTCTCGTCTAGCTCCTACCCAATCACTTCTCAGGCCACTTTTTTGATGTTATTTGTTGTCTGTTGTCCTCAATCGCTAGATTCGCTCGACATGGGCTCAAGCGCAATGTTGTTGTTTGCCATATATGACAGTATGATGTTGAAGAGATCAGCGCGTTAAGGTCACTTTCTTCTTTCTCGTTTTCTTTCTTTTTTTTCCTTCCATTTCCTCCTCATACACATCGAGTTATACGTTCCTCGACAATTCAGGGATCCGCGGGCTGTTAATTAGCTCATCAGTACTGGAACATATTTTGTCTTCATTCATGTTTTTCTTCGAAGCACTACCTGTCTAGTTGGGAACTGATTGTGGTACAGCTGAAGCTCTCATTTTGATCTAGCCGTTTTGGGCCGCTATCACGATCAGTTCACAGTACATCTCGTATAGTTGATTAGACGTCTGCTAGCGATTTATTTAGTGTGCTTTTTACTACTACATTCATTTACTGTTACAATTAGCATCGTTTCTCAGCGCTCGTATCTTCGCCATTGGTCATACAGTCCGAGAGTACTTGTCTAGTTCGCCTGTTCTACCTCGTAAAACAATAATATTCGCTATTATATTATTATTATTATCTATTGTCACATGCGTGTGTGTCTGTACGGTTACTTACTCAGGGTTGTATCGTCGAAGCCGAACTTCAGACCGTTGTTAACTAGTATGCCAAAAGCCATCATCCTCATCCTAATCCTCATCGCATCAACGTAATAGACACCACCTATTTAGTGATCGATTACTAGTATTACTTCTATTCGTATAACTGCAGTAGACGAGGAGAAATGAAATCAGTCTTGTATATACACAAACATTTACATATGAAATAATCAGCAACTGTAATTAGTACCATATACCAAATCGAGTTCTTTTTCGTTCAGTACATTCGTATTTATGTAGCTGCACCTGATTCATTGATACTTCTTTCTTCTCGAGACAAAAGTCCACTAGTTTTGTCGATTTTTAAATAATTCATATATAATATTTATTCTATAAGTCGTCATCGTCTGTCCCGATTCGTACACATCGTCGATACACCTCATTCATTACTTTGTCATACCTCGATTGTAACAGTATCTCGTCATCACAAAACTTTGTTCCGTCGTCTGTTCGATTCCTTTACTATCATTTCAGTGCATGTCTCTTATATAAACACTTTTTAAGTACGGCTTTGATTTTGTACGGACATCATTCTGAGGGCCTTTGAGGGAAACTGCGGAGTGGGGGATCTCTAATGGTAAGACCTCTTCGGCTCTGCTCCAACTCTACTCACTTCTTTGCTCACCCAATTCCCCAACACTCTGTGGAATGAATGTTAAATCAGCCGACATACAGTGCAAGAAATTGTCAAAACCCCTGAATCCCTGAAAACCTGGTACCTACCCTCTTTTCGGAAATGCACCGTTGCTGATGCGTTCGGCTGGACCTGGAATGCTCTCTCCAATCAGGTCAAATGCGATCCGATCAAAAATTCCTCGACCCACAGCCTAGTTTAGTAACCACGGAACCTCATAAACGGTCAAAATTTTCAGAGGTACCGATGGTGATCGCAAGCGATGCTCCGCAGTGGGTTGTTCGAATTTTTGAACTTTTGAATCTCTGTAAATCCTTTGAAATTCGTTGAATCTCCCCCTTTGAATAAAATTTCCAAACAAGTTCAAATAATAATACGATCATAAACGATCTTTCAGGTAGAATGAAATAATGAAAAATGAATGCAACAAATTCAAATAAAATACTTTAGTTGTACAGTGCGTACCAAAAGTATGTGGACACCCTAAAATCGATTCTCAGGGGTCAGCTAAAGACGTTTTCGCCCATGAATCCTTCACCATTCAACTCCTCAGTAATCTACAGTGACAATTGGGGCAAAAGATTTTGTTCTTTTTAGTTTGGCTTAGCAGTTTTGTTCTTTTCAGTTTAGCTTTATAGCTCAGCTTAGCGTTTAGTTTAGCAAACTATTTTTGATGGGAATTTTTTTCTTTGTATCAAAATTATGTGGACACCCTGAGGCAGATCAAGTTTTTGCATCGATTTCCTAACCTATTTTTACTTTTCCTTTCGTTACTTATTCTGGCATCATTCCTCTTCACGGCAAGCGTTTTTCTGAAGAAGACCAAGCACAGAATGGGATCCTCATGCTTGCTGAACCTTCCTATTGCGAAATCGCACGTCAACCAGTCATGCGTCCTCGCTTGTTGAAAAAGAGATCCAGAATCCTGAGACAAGAATAGCCTGTACTGTCTCAAAATTCTTTTGGTCCGCTATCCGCGTTCGCGCTTGAATGACTTCCCCTTATAAAAAGACCACTCGGTGTTCCATCCAATCGAGTGAGCACACGACACGAGAGAAGATGAAGAAAGCTTCGTGTATGGATGCGCAGCACAGATTGGCAAGGTTGGAATTCCCGTTCAAAAAACAAAATTCAAAAATATAATCACAACATGGGACGTTGAACCCGGACAGACAGCGCTTTTGTGAAAACTATAAGATAAGAATAAAAGACGCTCTGTGGAAAATTCCCCCTTAGACAACCTCGACTGGTGAGAAAAAGCTTATCTTTGGCTATTCGGGTGGATCTCGTTGCTAATGGAGGGACCTTCGTCGTGACCCGCAGCTGTACTCAAAGAGACATTTCGGAGGAGGCTCATCAATTGTCTGGGGTGGTTTCAAAAGAAGCGGAAAATTGGAGATTGGCTTGCCAGCATGTCAGGTAGACAATTAGGATTATAATGAGGTGCTTGGATTCTCTTTTTCGAGAAGCCAGCGTCACAAAACACTTGTTTTGCAGCAAGCCCAAGGGGGTCCCCTACACGTATTCCATTTGGGAAGAGGCAAACGCGAGGGTTTCGGGTGCTGGATTGGCTGGCGTATTCAGACCACATCGTTATTGAAAACGTAGGGGATAGTGGTTCACTGTTTCTGCGCCATTAAAGAAAAAGTAGTACCCCAAGTGACCTAACAAGTTGCTGAAATTAGCTGCTTGGGAAGAGTTCGACGAAACAGGTATCGGGAGCCTGGTTCAGAACATGCCGAACAAAATGTTTGACTTATCAGAATCTTTGGTAGGCCTACCAGTCTTTGATTCTAAAGATATTTCTGTTTCGAAAAGTGTCCACATACTTTTGATACAGGGAAAGCAGGGGAAAGTTTTTCCATTAATTAAAAAAATTTAAAGCTGCATGTAAAACGGTGAGAAATGAAAAAATCTAAGGTTATCCGTATCCGAGAAATCGAATGGTGGCGATCTCATGGTGCAGAAGTCAACAGTTCCTCAGAGTAGGAAAAATTTTGGGTGTCCACATACTTTTGGTAAGCACTGTATACTAAACAAATCATTTTAGTGCTAGCGTAGATGATCAGGAGGTGGGAGATCGTATTAGCTTGGAAGGGTATAGCAATCTCAGCTGACAAGTTAAAGTTAAAATTAAATCTTAGGCAAGTTGTGGCGAGGGTATGGGTCATCCGCCCATTGTCCTCGCTCGATATAGGAATTTTGGGGATGGAGTGAGCTAGTGCCAATTAGTATGTATGTCAGTATGAAGATCACTGACACTGCAAACGCGATATCAGAGGGGGTCATACCACGAAATCCGTTGGAAGCACAGTGACATTCTTCCGCGCCCATTTCCTTGACCCTATGTTTACTTTTTCATGGGGTCTGTGCACACCAGCAGGCGGTGGTTGGCGAATTTAAAGGCACCGATTGTGATATATTATAGTTGGTGTCTACTCCCAGAAATGGGAAGAGGACCGTTGGTGGGGCGACCGAGAGATGCAGTGCGGCGAGGAGGAGAGGAATTCTCGAGAAGGCAGGCTGAACGAAAGGTTGCAGACATCGCGTATGGAAATTGGAAAGGTGGAGTAGCAAGCGGCAAAGAATATCAACTGAATGACCCTTGAGGTATCGAGCGACGGTGATTGAACAATGGCATCATTACCGGCGGTAAGCACTACCGAGTGAGAATGTGACCCAGATCGCACCAGAAATATGAACTTGGGTGCAAGTACAGCAAGTAGTAAGGTTTTCGTGGGTAACAGTGTAAACTTTTAGTTCAGTGGATTTGAAAGGACAACGGCTTCTAGACTGCGATGGATGGCACAATTCCGACAATGAAACAGAACCGTTGCCGTATAGGAAAATTAGAAGGAGGAACTTAAAAAGTATACAATGGCACAAAACGGCTCTCCATGTAACCTGAGACTTGACACAAACTGAAACAAACATTTGACATTCATCACACCACAAAACTGAGAAAGCGCAGATTTGTGCACATTTCTTAAAGAAAAACAGCTTCAGTAGCCACTGTGTGGGTTGAATAAAGAGCAAGTTTCGTAGATGCTTAAATCTGGTAACTATACGAGAAACTATCCGATCCTATGGATATAGAATACGTGGCGCATCGCTAAATCAAAGTGATCAACTTCGAGAGCATATCACCATATTTATTGTACGAATGGATTTTGTAGCCGATTTGAGATTGTCACCTTAATTGAGTAACATGGCGTTATCATACGACGCGTTCCAACCTTTGAATGACCAGCCCTTACTGCGATAAGAAGGTGCATCGGTAAGCGATGATAGAAGACAGTAGAGTGTTCACTTCAAATTGATTTGTTTGCCTGACTGAAGCGCATTCGAAGCTGCCGCCGATCTGAGGATGAGACCTTTTGGCATCCTATTCCTTATTGTTTTACTGGTGTACACTGCCGCTCAGAATCCCTCGCCAACGTTGCAGTTCGTTGAATTTGTAAGCATTTAAACTTTTTCGAGTTAAATTTGTCAACGGTGGCTATTCGTTGTTTTGTTTTTTTTTTCTTAATGGCAACTTCAATCCCTTACGAAGGGATACGAATATTTAGTGGTTCCGACATGGCGAGCGGACACCGACGCACTACATGTACTTCCCCAACGAATCGCCTAGTGTTCGATACACTGAAGCAGAGGCTGGGGAACTGACAAATGTAAGTGTTATATTGCTCGAAATGATCCCACCCTGTGTTTTTCTTTTTGTTTTTCCTGCTTTTTTTGAAGCCTTCTTTCTAGCTTTCCTGATTTTCTATCACTCGAGTTAGTTCTTACTAACGCTCATGGACCTTTTTGAAAGGCTCCATGTAAAATAGTATTTTCCTGTTTCAGAGGGGCATCCAACAAGCTTACCAGCGAGGAACGTTTATCAGGAAGCGCTATGATGGATTTCTGGGCAACGTGTATCACCCCTCAGAGGTTGGTGGTATAGGTTTGTTAGAAGAATGACGCAATCTTCGTTAATTAATTAATGCGAGCATAAAACTGCTGTGGCCTGAGAAGTTTAAATCAAAGGCATACTGGTAGTAGTGGTACGCATAGCATTCTCATCTAAGGTCAACTTTCCACATGAATAAGACCTAAGTTCGAGGAGAAGCATTCGATAAAATATATGGAAATCTACGCTAATCGGGTCAAAATGTTTTGTTACAAGGAGCGGACGTCCAAAAGCAGCGCTACTTTTACGGTCAACCTCACGTTTTGCAGTAGGACAACTTGTCTTGAAAACAACACAAAATTGAACCATCAAGGGTCCGCGTCAGTTATTGGTGTATCGAATCACTATAGGTCTGCACCCCTATCATGCCTCACTACCATAGCTATTCTTGTAGTATTTGTTCTGAGACCCAAATTGCTTTCTGGCTAAGCTTGGTTATGAGAGGTGCGCTCACTGTGTTGCTGCCAATGGCTTATCACAATCCCAAGTACTCCACTGGGCACATGCTGCAGTAGCAGTATCGCATGGAACTGGGCCAGGGTCATCCGTAACCTTGGGCCGATTTCAAATATTTTCACGACGCTTCTCCCTCAAGCATTTCGCGATGAGACGTCCTATCACAACACGCGGGGAGCGTCAAGCACATATACCCACCCCCTTCCAAGCCTTACCACCACGCCTTTTCCTATACTGTTCGGTTCTAAGACAAGTCGACACAGTCTAATTCGACCTCTTTTCACTCAAAAGCAGCCATCGAACGCAGGGAATTGTGGTCAGGGGTGGGTAAATATAGGTAAATATGTCAGAAAAAAGCCAAATGCTTGTTTTCATCAATTCTTGCCACATTTATCAGAAAACATCGAAGTGACACTTTTCCTGCCGCCACGAGCCACTTTTTGCTTTCAAGAGTACAACCCCAGTGTGGAGTAATCGGACGGGGCGGTTGACCTTGCT